TTTACGAATGACCAACAACTAAGTCGATACTCCCTCCGTTTTAAATACTTGCTCCATTTCTCCATGAGCGGAGTTTTAGGAGAAATTGGATAAAGTAACAAAATATAGAGGTAGTGGGGTAGTTGACAGAATAAAAAATTATAAAAAAAACACAAGTAGTGGAAGAATAGGAGGAGAGAGAGTATTCTATTAGGGTCCACCGAGTGTGAGAAATGAATTTAATATTGTAAAAACTTTCCAAAAAAGGAAATGGAGCAAGTATTTAAAAATGGTCGGAAAAGAAAAGTGGAGCAAGTATTTAAAAACGGAGGGAGTATTTCACAACCTATCTTATTGTGTAATTAGTATTAATACGATTTATAAAATATATTATCATGCAATGTGTACATGAGGATAGATATATCTAAGTTACTCACTGATATTTAAACTCGTAAATTTGTGAATGTTACATTGTTCTTCATTTGTCCTTCTTGGTTCCGTCGCAATAATATATACTTGTATAAATTTCTTTGGAATAATTTAGATGAGCAAAATACAGAGTAGTAGGTCGGTCCAAATGATCGAGGTTGGAAGAATGAGTTAAGGTGGGTGGGGATTGGGGAGGAACCAAGACAAAGAATTCTTGAGACTCGTTGTTTTACTCTAAGAATTTGTTTGAATTTATATATATTTTTTATTTTATTTTGATGTTTAGAGAGCCACAAGGACGGATTATAAGAATCGATCCCATTATCACCTGGAATCGGTAAGAGAGCTCTAACCATTTGAGCTATCCCTCACTCTCTGAATTTATATTATATCATACTTCCTCTGTTTTTTTTTAATTGACCTGTTTCTTTTATCACGCTTGCCAATGCAAAACTTTAACGATCAATAACTTAAATTCTCCAAAAGTAAAAATTATAAAAGTTATATATTATGATAGTACTTATTGAGACGAATCCAAAAAGATCATACATGAATATATTTTTCCTTACATATTATTCACAAAAGACGGTCAAAGAAGGGGTGATGAATAGTGTAAAAGTCAAAGCGGGTCAAGTAATAAAAAACGGAGGAAGTATGAACTTATACTTCGTATTATGTTATCTAATTTATCTTCAACCTCAAATATAACGCGCATGTATAGGAACATACAGTATTGTTTAAGATGTTCTAAACTTCTAATACGGAGTAATAATTAGACGGAATATAATCAAGCTCAAGATGTACTAATACTTCCCAATAAACGTTTAATTTAACTTGAGTATTGGCTAATCACCATTTGAGGTAAAACTTAAAATTAGTTGGGATGTGAGTGGATCGAGAGAAGAGGCAAAAATGACAGAAGATGATATCAGAAAATGATCCCTACAAACCCCACAATTGTTACAGTATACTTTATGTTTATGTTATTGAGGGGGTCCACTTGTAATTCCCATTTTATTCCCTATTTTAATTTATAATTAAATAAATAAATTATACAGTCACTTCCCGAGGCATAGCTCTGGACCAAACCGAAAACCCTTTCTCTCTAATCGCTACTTCATACTACTCTCCGCCGCTTAATGATAGTCCCTTTTAATTAAATTTTAGTCCTAAAATATTTATCCAATTTAGGGTCTGTTCTGATTCACTAAACAGAATTGATTGGAGCTGAATTGAACTGAATATTTTATGAAAGAAAAAAATTAAGAAATGAAATGAATGAACTTATTGGAACTGAAGTGAAAATAATCTAAATAGTTTATACCCTTACTTTTTCCAACAACAACTAAGGGCCTGATCCGATTGACTGCTGAATTGAACTGAATATTTTATGAAAGAAAAAAAATTAAGAAATGAACTGAATTGAACTTATTGGAACTGAACTGAAAATAATCTAAATAGTTTATACCCTTACTTTTTCCAACAACAACTAAGGGCCTGTTCCGATTGTCTGAACTGGACTGAACTGAACTGAACTGAACTGAACTAAACTGAGCTCAACTGAACTGAACTTATTAATAAGTGATTTTTAACTATGGATTAGTGATCTTTGATTATTTATTACTATACATATGTGTATATACAAATGACATATTAAAATATTTACGAAAAATATACTATATAATTATAAATTTATGGAAAATATATTAAAAACTTGAAACCTCTAAACATTTTAAACACATATTGATTATTATTATTATTATTATTATTATTATTATTATTATTATTATTTATTGATTATTATTATTAGTATTAGTATTATTATTATTGTTATTATTATTATTATTATTTCAATTATTATTGTTATTATTATTATTATTATTATTATTTATTGATTATTATTATTATTATTATTATTATTTATTACTTATTGATTATTATTATTGTTGTTGTTGTTGTTGTTGTTGTTGTTGTTGTTGTTGTTGTTGTTGTTGTTGTTGTTGTTGTTGTCGTCGTCGTTGTAATAAGAGCTTAAAAGAATGAAATTTGGCTTTATATCATTAGCAATATCATTAGACATAAATTAAGAGCTGAACTGAACTGAATTTCAACGGAAGAGACCATGCCCTAATACCAAGTATTAATTTTTCTTTTCTTTTTACCTAAATTCTATCTAATTTGCAATAGTATTTGTGTAAATTTAGTTTTTCAATATAAAATTTGTCTTTTTATATACTTTTACTCCGTATTACTTCATCTCCTTATTTTTCTATATACCCTATATAAATTTACCTTTTCAATACTCTGTACATTTTTACTACTTTTTATCTATATATATTAATTTATGTGAAAATTGCTCATAAAAAGCAAGCATTACTCCCTCCATCCCTTAATTAAATTTTTAATTCTAGTCTAGAAATCTAATTAAGGAATGAAGGGAGTATCTTAATACCCTACTCCTTTTGTATGAGTATTGTCATCAAATGTTTCTTTACGTGTACATTGTTTTTAATTTCACCTTGATTCAATCTAAATTACAGCTGGCTGCTGATTATTTACAAGATAATCGATAAAAACATAAACCTAGATTTTGATGCATGCATTATTATTTAACTTCTTGTTTGTTGTGTTGCTAATTACGACTACTCTATGTATAGCCTATTGATTACATTTTAATTTTGTAGGATTATATTCTTTTTGCGTACATGTATCGATAAATCATTGTAACCATTAAAATACTCATTTTGCTTCTTTGTAATTGTCACATCTTAATTTATGCACTATTCATCCTAGAATGTACATGTGCTTATAAACACAATACATTTGCTTATGTTGAAAATTAATTTAGGTATTAGGGCTTTTTTTAAAAAAAATTATTGGTTATTTAGGGTCTGTTCTCATACGTTGAAATTCAGTTCAGTTCAGTTTATTTCAGTGCAGTTCAGTTCAGCTCTCAATTTCCTTCTCTTATAAAATATGCATTTCAGTTCAGTTCAGTTCAGCTCATTTCAGTTCAGCTGAGTTCAGTCAATGAGAACAAACCCTTAGTATTAATGGCTTGAACCATACCATTTTGTGCCTCGTGTCGGTCAAATCAATGTGCTTTCGATTAGCTAGGTCTAGAATGTCGCATGAGTTTTTAAAGGACGGTCCAAGTAAAGCTTGAGGAATGTTGATCATAAATACTAGACCATGCATGTCATTGCCAGGCCATCTAAGCAAAATATATATACTTCATATAATTCTTTCTATAGGGGGCCTTTCATTGGGGCCAATCAAATCTTGCACCTCTCGCTAAATTATTTATTACTCTGTAATTAGTTATGAAACTTAAATAACCCTATTTTACTATAAAATTTTGTGGGATAGTGATTAGTTATGAGCAGATGGTTTAAGACTCAAGTTTTGTCCCCTCCATACCAATATATTTAGCCAAGATCCATCATTGGTTCTTCCGTTTTTTACACTGATAAAATTTAAACTCAGAGATATAAAATAAGGAGCGATATGATTATTTTACCACCTAAACTTCATACAGTAAATGAATAGAAAAAATATTAAAAAAAATTAAATAATTAATCATGTTTTTAACATTTTACGAGGCATTGGTTAGGCGGTGGTCCCTCACAGGGTGTGGCAGTAATATGAGCTCCATGGTCGAAGCAGTTGGATGCTGAGCAACACCAAGTTAGAGTTTACCTTTTGGCAATTAATGCAATTTTTATACATACGATATTACTGTTCTTTCAATTATACACCTCTGTATTATCTAGAATTATTCTGGTATAATTGTAAAAAAAAGAATCATTCTGGTATAATTATACTAGTATTTTATATACTGTCATTATTCCCTAATCCCTCGAATTTAGTTATTATTCACCCGTATCTTGTCAATTAATTTCTTATACTTTTGCTCATGCACTCAACTAATTTAACCAATATTTAAAAAAAAATAAAATTACATAATGTATTTGCACCAGAAAAGGCTAAGGGTGGGCTAACTTTGAATTGTGGATAGTGACTTAAGATCTCTGTGATCTTTGCTTTACTATTTGGACTATGACTATAACCGACTCATCGTTACTTTAGACGGTGAAGATGGGTCGGGTCTTAAAGAGAGCAATCATAGACCAGGGGAGAAACCAGTTACAGGATCAGGAAGGTCAGAGTGCCTACAAATATTATCCTATTGCAAAGTACTCCATACTTAATTGTTATTACCTTAAACATGCATGTATTACAACCCTTAATTTTTTTTATACAATTATTCACCTAATGCTTAATCCTTAATTAAATTAACTATTGTGTAAAAAAAAAAAGCACTATCAAGTATCAACTAGATAATCAAGTGCAAATAATTAAATACAAGAAGTCTTTAAATATTTCTATGACGATAATAAAATTAGGAAAAGTTTAATCAAATGACTTAAGAGAAGGATTGGTAGGTAAGCAAAGTGAAACTTTTAAGGGTTGTTGGTTAAACATTGTGTAATTAATTTTTAAAAATTAATGTACTACTCCATAGTTAATGTTTAGGGGTAGTTGGTTAACCATTGATCGCCTAATTATCTTCTACTACGCATCTTTCTTTTCTTTACCGTCCTATTATTTTCATCAACATTTGATTAACTTGAGATAGCTACGGTGTTTATTAAAAAAAAATACGAAATACAATAAAATTAAAATCCTTATGGTAATTAAACTTAATACACATATTTCACAAAAAATTCAAAAAAAAAAATTACCCACAAAATTACAACTGGTAGCAATGAAATAGACAATACCAAGAGCAAGATATGACACAAGCATTATTAATAAGGGAAGGATCTCCTCGATCCCTTTCATAGCATCTGATTTTGTATTTAGGAGAGAGACAAAAACAATAGCTAAATTACAAAAAAAGAAAAATCATAATCCACTTTTGGTCCCTTTTTCCCCTCTCCTCCTTTACTCATTTCTTTCCTTTCTTCTTTTTTATAAAACCCCTTCTTTCTTTCTTTTTTGCATTTCAATCTTCAATTCTTTGCTCTTCTGCTTCACTTAGCTCAAACAACACTCTTTTTTCTAATTAACACTGTGAAATCAGCTATACCCAGTTTCCATTTTCGTCTCTCAATTTGCAGGAAAATTATTTAATTTGTCTTTGAGGAAATTTAGAAATTTTGCTTTTTCTGAGTTCAGAAAAGCTCTGAAATCAGAAATTACTACTTGGGTGTTTCTTCTGTTCCTAAATTTGTTGGGTGAAAAAAAGTTTCCTTTTTTGGGTTTTTACTGGCAAGTTTTGATCTTTAAGTGGGTAAATTTATAGCAGTAAAATGATTGATTTATAGCAGGAGAAAGATTGAGATTTGAGAAAGAAGGTAAAATCTTTGAAAAACAAGATTTCTTTGATTTATTTTTTGGAGAAGGTAAAAATAAAAAATGGGGTTGGAAATTGGTGAATCATATGTTAAGAAGACACTCAGGAACTTATGCTTGAACCATGGTTGGTCTTATGGTGTTTTTTGGCGTTTTGATCCGCAGAATCACATGTAAGTTCAATTTTTTTTTAATTTTTTTTAAATTATAATTGCTGCAAAATTTTTTAAAAAAATGAGGGTTAGTGTTAAATTTCATTTGATTTTCAAGGGTGACAATTAGTTAAACAAATTTGATTTTCTAGAATAAATAATTATATTACAATTTTGGGTCATTGTTGTTACCTAAAAACACATCCAAACACAGAAAAGGAAAAAAGAAGTTAATTATACTGCATCAGTACTCCTGAACTGAGGAAATTTCAGTTATTATAAAATTCATTTATGCTAATGAAGTGGGGTTGGTTACTTTGGACCATTTCTTTAAAATGTAGATGTATGCAACTTTTCCTTTAATTTCACTATAATAGTAAGACAAATTTATTAAATAACTGACAACATGTTACTAAAATTTGTGATTTGAGTAATGTGCAAGTGCAAGTAGTCTAAATTAATTTGTAATAAAGATTAATGAGGGTGGTTGATTTGATCTGAATGACTGAAGCCTAATTTGGAAAATTTGTGTTTATCAGGTTGTTAACTGTGGAAGATGCTTACTATGAGAATCATGTTGCAAGTTTAATGGATAATGTGCTTGTGCAAGTCCACATGTTTGGTGAAGGGTAAGCTGTTCATAACTTGTGGCTTAATTTTTCGAGTTTTCGGGTTTTATAGTGTATTTGATTTAATGGCTGGTCTAATCTTGGTAAAATTGTTTCTTCAGTATAATTGGTGAAGCTGCATTTGACGGGAAACATAGATGGATGTTTGTAAATGGATCAACAGATGATTGCAAACTAAATCTGCAGTTTTCTGCTGGAATTAAGGTACTTTCTTTTGGGTTCAATGTGTCCTGCATAATGCAACTCATATAAGCATTCTGTAATTGAATTAGCTATATTTATACATTGTTTTCATTGGTTTCGCAGACAGTTGCAGTTATTCCTGTGGAGATGCGAGGCGTGGTACAATTTGGGTCTACGAAAGAGGTTAGTACTGGTGCTGCAGAGGAACTTGCTTGTGCCTTTTTTACATGGTATATATTTTCTGTTAGTCTGTGGTAGTGTGGTTGCTAAATGTATGTACTGTTTTCTGTCGTAGATTTTCGAAACACCAGAGATCTTGGATCAAGCAAGGAAGTGTCTTAGAGGTGGTGATTATTTTAATGGGGTAGCAGGAAGTAATACTTTGTTGTCTAATTCTGATGCCAATGGCCAAAATGGGCTATTAGCTTCGGTCATCTCATCCCAAAGTTCCTTTTGTGATGATATGTCTACGCCTTGGGCAAATAGCATTGAAGGTTGTTCGTTGTTCGATTCCTTACCATTTTCTGGAGAGGTGTTTGGAGAGCAATTTGAGCCTGCTCTTCTTCCAGCTTCTGCACTCGATACATGCCAAGCGGATGATCTTTCTCAGTGGCTTGCTGATACATCAAAGCTGTGTGTAACTGGATTTGATCTAGAAGCTATGCTTGCTGATGATATGTCATCAGATCTGGGTGGAAGCAACCTATTCTCTAACATTCAAGGAAAACAACTAACTTCCCCTTCGCAAAGTTCTTTGACTAACACGTTAGATTTTGGCTGTGGAGAGTTGGGTGATGTTGTCAATGCTGTTGAAGATAAGGCTAATACCTTGCCTATTGATGACGCTATGAGTTTCTTAGAATGCATCTCAGGGGTCGGAGGCAATTCGACTGCTGCACCAAGAAAAGGGTTGTTCACTGAGCTAGGTTTGGAGCATCTTTTAAAAGATGGTTCTAGCAATAGTTCTACCCCTAGATCTTGCATAGAAGATCAATGGCCGTCATCCAAAAAGAGGAAAACCGAAGCCTATCAACAAGTCAATAACCAATTGCAGCAAACTTACCATTCTTGGGGAGTAAAAATGATGCAACCTACAAGTACTAGTGGCCATAAAATGCAGGATTTTGGATCCTTAAAAGACTGCATGGATAAAGCACAGGGAAGGTTGTGGATTGATGAAAGCTATAGCATGGATGCCAAGAGCTGCATCAGTGCTGTTAATACACAAAGTAAGAGGACTGAAGAACCTCCAAAGGCCACCAAGAAAAGAGCGAGGCCAGGAGAAAGTACGCGTCCAAGGCCCAAAGACAGACAGTTAATTGCTGATCGAATCAAAGACTTGAGAGACCTTATCCCTAATGGTGCAAAGGTATACTACTTTTTGTTTGTGTCATCTCTTGTTATTCATAAGATACTCCCCTGAATATTGCTGAATGCTGATGGTTATGTTGTTATTGCAGCTAAGCATTGATTCTTTGCTGAACCGCACCATTAAACACATGCTTTTCTTGCAAAATTTGAACAAGCATGCAGGCAAACTCAAGCAAGTCGATGAATCAAAGGTTAGTGATATTTTTGCTGAAAAGATGTACATTTTTGACAGACTGATTAAGACATGTTCTGACAAATTATTGCTGGTTTTGAATTTTCAGTTGATTGGCCAGGATAACGGCCTAGTAGGAAGTTCAGCCTCAGTTTCTTCGGGTGGTAGTGGTAGGCGTAATGCTACTTGGGCATACGAAGTTGGAGGTTCAAACCTCCTTTGCCCAATTATTGTAGAGGATCTTAATGAACCTGGTCAAATGCTCATTGAGGTATGATCTTGTCGTCAATGCTGATTATTTCTCTTCCATTTCATTGTATTTAAACGAACTTTAGGCTAAACAATTTTAATTGCATTATGTAGATGCTATGTGAAGAACGTGGATACTTCCTAGAGATAGCTGATGCAGTTCGGGGTTTTGGCTTAACCATACTCAAGGGAGTCATGGAAATGAGAAACGACAAAATATGGGCACATTTCATTGTTGAGGTACATCTTTTAATCTAATTTAATCATTGTACAACTTCAAGTAATTAGTAACCAGTCAGTAATTTTCATTAATCTTATTAAGGGACTAATGTATATTTAATTGTGCAGGGAAACAAGCATGTAACGAGGATGGATGTGTTCGTGTCTCTTATGCAGCTTTTGCAAGGCACAAACACAAGTGAAGTTCTAAACACAACCTGTGAGGCCGCTAACATTGTCACCAATGCAGCTCCATTTTGGGGTGACTTCCAGCAGCATGTTGTGCCACTTCCAATTTAATCATAACTAGACTTTAACAGAATTTGCTTGGATTTGGTTTATGTATAGAGATCTAGGAATTTAACCAAAGTTCACGCTAGCTCAAAGAAGAGCATCACAAAGTGTATTGCTTCTCCTCCCCCACGAGTTTACTGCTCGCTCTCACTACAAGTATCATGGCGAATCAGGCAAAGTAGAACTGAAAAAATAGCTTCAGCAAGAACGGCATCACATCTGTGAACTCAGCTAGTTATTTTTCCTGTTCAATTTTGTTGGGGTCTTGTGGGTAATTTGTTATTAGTGATTAACCTGTTCATATCTTGGGCTTATTGCAGATGTAGATTACTATATAGTAGTGTGTTAGAAAACTGTTACTTGGTATACTTAGGGCTGACCTTTGAGGCTCTTGCTTGTTTTGCCTCTCATTATTTTTGTAGTTAATTTGGCACTTGAATGGAAGATCAATCTCTTTCCCTCATCTCTCGATTTCTCGCTTTTCGTTGTTTGTTTACATGCATGTTTTTTGTATAAACTTTGTTATTTGTCTGAACATGAAGCTGTACTCAGATTTCACAGCAAACCACTAGTTCAGTATTACACAAGTCTTAGCTTAAACTTTCAGGATATTTGATTACTTTCAATGGTATGAACGACAGAAATAAAGGCTCAGCAGTGGAATCAATAGTTGAATTGTGTTAGCATTTATGATTTCTATTTATCATTTGGTTGGGAGTGAGGTTGGTAAGGACTAGGGAGTGTTCTCACTTCATTGCATTATTTAATGTAGAAACTCAGATGTCAAATGAAGAATGGACGGATTTGACTTAAACTAGTGTGTGACCTGAGCAATATAGGTTGGGTCAATATCTCGAGTTGATTCCATTTACATAACTACATGGTTTCATTATCTAGAAGGTTAGAATAATCTTGATTAGAGTATAATTTTTCAATTTTTTTTATAACTAGTTTTAGGTTGAATTTTCCTCTTTTTTTTTTTTTTTTTTTCTTTAAAAAAAAAAAAACGGGTCGGATCGGATCAATATTTGATAGGTAACATCATACATTGAAATTACCATATTCGTCCAAGATAAAAAATTTGAAGAGGTGAGTATGGTTTAGACAATAGGAGTATATAATTGATGACCTAGAAGCAGTGCAGAAATTGGTTTCCATATCGGATGAAACCAAACTACTCTATGGGCTGTAGCATTGTTGATGTGCTTGGACAATGTATGGACACTATTATTTGTAGGGCATTACCATTTATTAGCCACTATGCACATTATCATTGGACGTTGGTGTTCTCAATTGTTGTACGTTACCTTAGCCTCAAAATTTGAATCATCAACTACTAAAAAAAATAAAATAAAATTACATTTGCTCATTTCTAAATTACTTAGCTTTTAAGGGCTTTACCACCAAAAAAAAAAAAAATTAAATACTTTTTTTTTCACAAATTTTAAAACACGCATTTGATCATATTAATATTTGTTACTTACGTTTATAAACCAACATTATACGAAGAATATATTATCAATTGAATTAATTAATAAACTTTATTTTTTTAGCTCCATAGTATTGTGTGTGAGGGGTGTGACCATTTTTTTTAACTCCTCAACTGGAACAATAAATTTCTTTTCCCTATTTTTCTTATAGCTCATAGTTGTTTAGACCCAAAGTGGTGAATTAGAGAGCTTAAGTTCATATATCTTAAAGTGCAACACTTCATGTTATTCTCAATTTTTTTTTTGAAGCAAAGTTAATCTCATTTTTATTTCTCTACAATCTCGAGTTTAATTGTATTAATTAATTTACCTATTTTCACACAATCTTGCATGATTAATTTTTTCTTTATTATTATTAATCAAAAGATAATCGACGGAGTATATGTTTATAGGAAAGATCTTGATTGAAAGATATAAGCGAGCATAAACAATTATTAGAGCATTAAATATTTGTTATATTGTGTGTATCTCGTTAATAATTAAGCTACTAGTACCAAATTACAATTAAAATGTAAAAATTCTTAGATACTCGTATTGTTCTTGAAATTAAGATAAACAATTTAACTTTGGGTAATAGTAATAATATTACAATAGTAGTCCTAGTAGTTATCTACATATCTTTATTTCTAGTTACTGCATGCAAGCATAATGAAAATGTTGGGTAATAATTAAAATGGTCGGACCAAAAATTAAAAAGAAAATAAAAAATGGTAATGGCCGACTTAAAAGCAGCTTTAATTTGTAGTAATGGCCTGTGTTCTAGCCGACTGTGGGTGACCTGTATAAATTGTGTGGGCATTGTTTTGTTTGTAGGTCAATGCGTTATCATTTTGCCTTCAAACTCAAGTTTCATTTTTATTGCATTTCATTTCTTCACCTTTTTTTCCCATTTTCTCAGTACACCTATCCAATTTAGAAACTAGACTTCATAATCCACCAAACGCTCTAGCTCAATTATTTGACATTTAGGGCCTTTTCTCATTGGCTGAACTCAGCTGAATTGAACTGAACTGAACCTGAATATTTTATAAGAGAATGAAATTAGGAGCTGAACTGAACTGAACTAAACTGAATTTCAACGTATGAGAACAGGCCCTTAGGGTACTTAAAGCGTAAATGAACTGAATACCTGCTTTGTTTACTTTATTTTCACTTGTTTCAAGTCTATTAAGTTTAGATAAGTTCAGTATAGGAAAAATATAATCTAATAAGAGTTCTCAAGTTTAAATTACAACTAAAATAAGTTTTGATAAGGTCAGATAGCTCAATAAGCTCATGTAAGTTCTGATTAATTAAATGAGTAAAATACTTTAGATAAGTGAAAATAAGCCAATCAGGTGAATAGAGCTATAGAACACACCCCTAAATCACATAACTCGTTTGGGTTTGATTATTTTTATCATATTTGAACGATCTTTAAAATGCCAATTAGAGTTTGAATTAAAAAAATCGTTTTGAGTCTGAGCCAAACCGTAAGCAACTGAGCTCTCCTCACGATGAGAATTCTTAATGTATATTTTTCAAGTCATAATTTTTTTTTCATAAAGGTAAGAAAATTTATACATTAAATTAGGAAGCTCTCCTAAAGATGAGGATTCCTGATGTATATTTTTCAAGTCGTTATTGGCTTGAGCACTCCTACTCAATACAAAATTACACTTAAATCCACTACTACATTATCAGTCTATAGTATCACGTACAAAAACAACTGAGTTAGGGATTTAGACTTATAAGCAGAGTTTATGGAGTGGGAAGGTGTTTGCATAATTGGAGCATACTTTACGTGGGTGCTAAATTTTGACATCTCATTGTAAGGTCGGTTCTTTATGTCTAAATCAGCTTCTGAGTAAAGGTTTCGGACTTCGGTTATAATCTGTAAAAATTTGCCAAGTCTACTAGTCTATTAGTACTAGATCAACTGACTTTTCACCAAGCTAAGTGTGGTTTTCTGATTTATTTACAAATTGTCACCTCTTTTCATGATATACTAGATTCTTTGGTGTTGATATATGATGGACACTCAAGTTTTGGTTTTTAAAAAGTGTTACTTTTTTCTTTTCTTCTCCCATGATTCTAGAGGTTTAGATCAAGTTGACTAGATCATCTTGAATTCTTGATTTTTGGGATCTTATGCTGTAAAAAGTAGGTCAAATTTGATTACAACTAAATTGTGTTAAGGTTATTTAGCTACCATCATCAATGTCAATTTCTTTCTTTTTCCCTTTTTTTACCCCTCATTTGACACAAGGGTAGAAGGGGTGAGTGACAAATTAGAATACTTCAAATGTAAATGTAACTAAAGTCAGAATTAGTGATCTGATGCATAAAATTTCGAGTTTTATCATTTTTAGATATTAAGGGTGTGTTCTATTCATCTGATTTTCATTGATCTGAACTTATCTTTACTTATCTGATCTTATATGAACTCATTAGACTTTATTAAAACTTTTTTTAGTTGTAATTTGTAATTGGGTAACCCTTATTGGAATTTATTCAACCTGAACTGAACTTATCTAAACTTAATTGAATTTATCTGAACTTATTACATTTGAAATAAGTAATAATAAGGTGAACATAACAGAATACAGAGTAATTTCTAATATTTAACCCTTGATTATAAAAATAATTTAAGCTATAAAAAGGTGTTAATCCTTGATTATGAAGTAAATATGTTTGTGACATCTAGATTTTCTTAAAAAACAAATTTGTGTAGTTATAACAAAAAAAAAAAAAAAAAAGGACAAGTTACTCCCTACTTAGAACCAAAACCAATATCCAATGGTTCTGTTTCTCATTTTAAAGGTGTTAATTACTTAATTGCAACAAGTAGGATCATCCAACTTCAGGTTAACCCTTAGCGAATAGCTGCTATTTATTAGCAAACACTTTTTTCTACTTTCTTGTTTGGTTTTTTGTTTTTAAATAAAAATAAAATACAATTACCAACATGCCCTCAATGTGGAGAAGAAAGAAAGAAAATACTGAATAGTACTGTGCAAAGGTCCATTGGGCTATTCATTCCAGTCCTGTAAAGCCCAATAATTAACTCTTAGCCCAATATACAAACCCAAAAATAATCAAATGAAGAACAACAGAGAGACATACACATACTTCGCAGGCTCGCACTTTCCAGTTTTATCTGGGATTCCAAATAAACTTCTTCTCAAAGTGTTCTTCGTCTTCTTCCTCATTTTCAAATTTCCTGATTGAATTAAAAAATAAAATTAAAAAATGGAGGAAAGTATTGCTTTATCTGAAACTTTACAGGTTAACTCCGCCTCTTCTCGCGTTATCTGCCGTGTGTAAGCTTCTTCTTTCTCCAATTTAATCAATCAAGCTTTATGAAATTTGTTATATTTTCAGTAAATTATTTGATCATTAACAAATTCTAATTGAAAAATGATAAATTTGAGTTGTTTTATTTGATAATTTGTTGAGTATTTGTTTGATTTTGAATTTGGGAAATGTAGATGTCAAAAGCAATTTTCGCAGTATACTTGTCCTCGTTGTAATACCAGGTACTGCTCCCTCCATTGTTACAAGGTATGCCTTTTCTTTTCAGCTCTTACCAACTATTTTCGCTTTCGTTGTTCGATTTTCGAGGTTTATTGATATGCCAACTGTTGTGGACAAGTTAGGAGAAAGGGTGCTTATATGTTGTTGTTAATGCTAATTAATACTCCATCCGTCTTCAAATAATCGTGTTGTTCGAGTCAAATTGATTTTAAGATATGTACTAAAGAGTTACTACTATTTGGTGAATGGTTGATAAACTTCCTACAATTGGGGAAAGTTGTTTATTACAAAATAGTGAGTAATTAGGTTTCTAGAACTTAATAGGGATTGTGGAATTGTAACGAGTAAGGAGCTGTATATACTATGTAAAATGACTAAAAGAAGTTTTGAGGTTGAGGCATCTCTTTTTTGGATGCAAAAGGATAGACTACATAATGTGATTGAGGCGACTTTGGAGTTATGTAAAGAGAAGAGTGAGGTTTGCTATGAAGAAGAAAATCATAATTGCACTCGTTGATGTATACTGATATTGTGTGGGATGACTTCTCTGCTCTTGTCTATAGGAATGTTTCAACAAGAGTAATAAGTATTGCTACTCTTATTAAACTAAATAAATAAGTAAATAAAGTCATGTTAGGATTTGATATATATTTTTCGTGAATGCTAAAGATGTTGCTGGTCTTTTTAAGAATGCTCAATGTAGAATAATATGCGTTTCCAGTAATAATCTGTAAGCAGTTTGGTATAAAATTAATCATTGTTATTTTAATTATCATCTTTTGCTTCACTTGCCTGCTTGCACTACTACTAGCCATAGCCATAGCCATTTATTAGCTGTAATTATCTAAAGCCTAATTTCCTTGGCCCTCCTATAAGTTTAGACTCATGATCTAAGTGATGCTATGATTGTATTTGATTCATTATGTGGTTGTTTTGGCAGTCTCACAGCCTCCGATGCACTGAATCTTTTATGCGGGAGAATGTTGTGGATGAGATGAAACAGCTACGCCCTGATGATGAGAGCAAGAAAAAAATGCTGGAGATTCTCAAAAGATTTCATGCTGAAGATGAGGAGGACGGCATGGATGAAGATGGTATGTTTCCTCAGGGGACATCTATTTAATTTGAAGTATTTAGTAAGATAGCTACCAATATCCCAAGAGGGCCGAGACAGTGTTTGTGCATTATCAGTTTTATCACTAGCTAAGAGTAATAAATTAATCCAAAAACTCTGCATAAACTGATACAACTTATGGTCTGAAATAAGATGGCAGAAATCTAGTTAAAAAAGCACAATGGAATGTCTGAGCTCATGCAAATTAGTTCTTAGATCAGTTTTATCATGACTTCTGAGCTTTCCTTATAGTTATCAAATATGTTAACTTATGCCATTTCCTTATATTGCAGACTCAACTCTCTCTGAGGAGACTATTCAAAAGGCTCTATCAGGTATGTCCCTTATAATTTCATCCTTCCAAGTGTCATTAGTTGCACGTAACTCGCTGTTTGTCGGTCCCCCCTATAGGCTATAGCTGTGTGATATCTTTTTTTAGTTATAGTGTTGTCTTTTCCTGTTTCCTTGCTGCATTGTCTCTTAGACAATTTTTTTCACTGCTGTTGTATTCTTAATTCCTTGTACAGTATCCAATTTGAAGGCTTACTGTGAAAGGTCTGATTAGGAGCTAGGCATGTATATTGTTTAGGGAGAGTATATACAAGTATGTAATATGCTCTGACGCATAATTTCTGTTTTCAGGAGGTGAAATAAATTATGACGACTTAAGTGCTGAAGAAAAGAAACTTTTCCAACGAGCTATAACAACTGGAGAATTGAGCAAGATGATCGAGCCATGGGAGCCATGGTGGTTGAAGCCTTCTGCTCGAACAATATCTCTGAGTCATGGAGGAACTCGGCTTATCCAGCCTTTAGCAAGCGAGGAAGCATCAGGATCTCATTCTGTTGAAAACCTTGAGAGTGAAATTCCTCCTGGACCTGAGACACCTTTGCCATCGCCTAAGAATCTTACTTCTGCTGAGCCTTCTCCACTTCTCCCCTTTCATCTGGTTGACATCCTGTACAGCTATTGTTTCACACTTCGCCTTTATAATGGGGATTGGTCGTCAGATTCTATCGGAGCTTCCATGGTGGTCTTAAATGTATCCGCTGTTTTAAGCCAGGGAGCACAGCCAGAATCCTTATTAGAAGCTGTTTCATATTGCTTAGAGCAGACTTGTTCACCAGACTTTAGACACATGGGTGGTTTACAGTTCGGTTTTGGTGTTCTTGATGATGTAGTGTCTTTAATATCCTTGGGCAGGGCTGCTGTAGTATGTGCACTATGTGACCTGCAGAGGATGATTGCGGCAGGAGAGATGGAGCTGAAATCCGAGAAACCAAGAAAAGCAAAGAGTTCAGAGGTCACGAGCAAGCTCAAGTCTGCTGGAAGGAAGATCTACTTTATATTGTGCTGGGTGAACGAGCAGCCAGAAGAAGTTTGGTCTTCTCTGTCAGTTCTTGTTCAGGCTGAAAAGGCTTCGCAATTGGAATACCAAGGCAATGGAAAGAGGAGAACCTTAAAGACAGAGAAGACAAACGATGATAGCAAAGCTCTAATAAAAGAAATTTAGTTATTTGAATGTTCCATGTTCCATCTTATGTTATGAAGAGTTACTTTTTTGATAGGTGTGGTAGCGAGAATTGTTTTTTGATAGGTATGTTATCGAGAGTCAATTAGGATAGTAAAAAGTAATGTATAACTCTAGCAAAGCAGAGCATGTACAAAAGCTTTTCTTGTGCAAGGATATTGGATAGCTTTTTTGCAGGATACGGAGTATATACGAGTTAGTTTGGTATGCATGCAGTTGATGCTGATATCTGTTTCGTTACAGTATTCTTAGACTCATACTCCCTGAGACCCTGACTAAGTTATAGACAGGCAGGAATCCCTGGTTGCTGCGTGTGCTACCCCGTATACCACTGCTATTGTTAAATTTGTTATACAACTGGGTAGCTGGTACAACTGTACAATGTACGGCTTTGGCAGCCAATCTGGTGCATTTAAATGCACTTCTAAACTTGTTATACTCGTGTTAGTGATATGATCATGCTGCTGTCATGACTCCTAGGTGCAGAAAACTGTCATCTGTCAGCCGATAAATGGGCATTACAGACGACAATTCGATAAAAAAAAAAGGCTCATTAATCAATGACGGAGCAACGTACAATCACATTACATAGATTAGCCCTAAAATTCAATAGACGAATGGGACAAACTGCTAAAAACTTTATTGAATTATGATCACCCCATAACATAACATGTAAATCAGAACAAACACAGATATAGAAATGATGATTAATAATGCCATAAAAACATCACAAATTCCTAATAATTACTTCTCCCATCATGCATGAAACTAACCCTAGTAGTGACATCTTAATTTCCGTAGAGACGAACATGGAACATCCACGTGACATGAAGGCGAAACTCGTTAGAAACCATACTAATCAACCTTTCGGCGAAAGGAGCAACCCTCGGTAAGCCTAGCCTTGCCACCAGTAGGCTGACAAATAACAGTCTGACAATTAGGGCACATGATCACAGTTTGAGAGTGGCTGAATACAGTCGTAATAGCGAAGCAACCTTGACACTTAACGTCCATGAAATACGAGTTTGGGGTCTGCACCAACCTTTTCAGCTTATGCTTCTTCTTCTCTAGCTCCGCCGGCGGGTTCAGAAAATCTGTGTCGTTCTGCAACACCATGATTGTTGTTTAGGGTAAATTTATGATCAATATATAATGAATATGATTAAGAATTTTGAGTTTCTGATCTTAAAAAAGAAGTGGCAGCAAGGGTTTAGGTTTCATGAAATCATGCGTTTATATAAGTTTTAGGTGTGTGGGTTATGTAGGTTTTAAGGATTTAAGAAAGTAGGGTTTTGACTTTTGAGGATGAAAATTTGTTGATATTCTAGTAGAGCTGTCAATTCGGGTAAACAGGTCGGGTTTGGGTCGAGTAAGTGTGGGTCGGGTCAACTCGGGTCGGGTCATTTCGGGTTAATTTCATAATCTTTACGGGCGGGTTCGGGTTGGGTCAAGCTTGAGTCGGGTAACGTCGGGTCATACATCTTTTCGGGTTTGGGTCAGGTTTAGGTTGGGTTAATAACAGGTCGGGTTACATTCGGGTCGGGTGAATAATAGGTCGGGTTTAATTCGGGTTTTCACGGGTTAAAACGGGTTAGGGTCATTCTCGGGTTCGAGTCGGGTTCGGTTCAAGTCAATAATTTGCGGGTTATAATCAGGTTGGCTCATTTCCAAGTCGGGTCATTCTCGGGTTCAAGTCGGGTTCGGTTTAAGTCGATTATTTGCGGGTTACAATCAGGTCGGGTCATGTTCGGGTTCAAGTCGGGTTCTGTTCAAGTCTATTATTTGCGGGTTATAATCAGGTCAGATCATTTCCAAGTCAGGTCATGTTTGGGTTCGAATCTCAAATATTGGGTTAATCTGGGTATCGGGTTGATTTCAGGTCGGGTCATATCAAGTTCGGTTACATTTTTTGGGTTGGTTTGTTAACAGTTCATGTAATGACATTCACGTTGACTCATCATCAATTACTTCGCTTATTATAAGAGAAATAATTTCAGATAAGTTAAATTCTAATAAGTTTAGATAAGATAGGTTTAGTTTAGAATTTTAGAAGATAAGTTCAAACCCTATTCTAATCTATTCACATTGATTCCACTCATTTTAGGGATAATAATTTAAGTTCATATTCGAGATGACTTGTTTAGATAAAATATAGTCAATTCATACAAATTCGGATAAAATAGGTTTAGTTTAGATAAGTTAAAATACAACAATTTTTTTTTTCTAAACTTATTTTATTTGAAATTATCTAAACTTGTTTATTTTTTATAAGTTCATATCCGTGTTCACGTTTTTTTTTAATGGCATTATTCATAACATTTTAAGATTAATTAGGCAAATGAATAATAAAATTAGAAAAATAAAAGACCAATAAAAACCTTTTAACAGCTCTTGTTCGGGTCACCACTTTCTCGAGTACAAACAAATCAAGTCATGATTGAGTACAGGTAAATTATGTGGGTCGAATTATCATCGCATTCAATCATTATTCGAAATTATTATTTTTTTAACTTTTTTTTTATGTGGGTCTCCCTACATCCAAGACAAAATACTTTGATCAATATTAACATAGAGTAATTTTAGCCTTACGAAGTTTCGACATAACGAGTAGCTTAGAATATATATAGCATATATCTTTATTCACTATCTGATCTACAATATTAAGGATGTATAAAATAACAAGTCGAGTTGATTTTAGGTCAGGTCAATAACAAGTCGGGTTGAATTTGGGACGGGTCCATAACAAGTCGGGTTGATTTCGGGTCGGGTTAGTGACAGATCGGGTCTGGTTAGTGATAGATCGGGTTGAAGTTCGGGTCGGGTTAGTAATAGGTCGGGTTAAATACGGATCGGGTTAGGAATAGGTCGGGTTGAATTCAGGTTGGGTTAAATTCGGGTTTTCACGGGTTAAAACGGGTTTGGGTCAATTTCGGTTCGGGTCGGGTTCAGTTCAAGTCAATATTTTACGGGTCATCTTCGGGTCGGGTCATCTCCGGGTCGGGTCATGTTCGGGTTCGGGTCTCAAATACTCGGGTTAACTCGGGTCTCGGGTTGGTTTCAGGTCCGGTCATATCGGGTTCGGGTCATCATTTTTCCGGGTTTAGACGGGTCGGTTAATAATCGGGTACGGGTTGGTATTTCGGGTCGGGTCAGCTTTTGACAGCTCTATATTCTAGTGTGTTGTGTTGTTTTGCTTTCTTGGGGTTTTCTAGTAGTGTCTCAGTTTTTTTTATGGGCCCGAAGGAAAATGCGTAACTTCTCTACCCAAAAGAAAATTAGGAAAATTTGCAAATTACAGCCATTTAAAGTTCGTATTTTGCAAATTGCAGCCATTTAAAAAAAAAATTGCAAATTGCAGCCTAAAAATTCATATAAATTGTAAATTGCAATCCGATTCAACTTTTTCATCGGTTTACAAGTTGAAAAATCTTCGATTAAGGTTTTAGGGGTGCGGCCATTTTAGGCCTTAGGGATCCGAATTGAGCTCGAATGAGAAAAAAAATAATACAAGTATCTCGTTTTGCGTAACAAAAATGTATCGATTTGTGGGAAACTGTAAATATGAGACACTTATGTTATTTTTTTGCTAATTCCGAGCTCAATTCAGGTTCTTAAGGGCTAAAATGACCCCTGAAATCTTAACCGATAATTTTTCAACATGTAAACCGATGAAAAAATTGAATCGGGCTACAATTTACAATTTATACGAACTTTTGGGCTGCAATTTGCAAAAAAAAAAATTTAAATGGCTGCAATTTGCAAAATACGAACTTTAAATGGTTGCAATTTGCAATTTTTCCAGAAAATTACAATAATTTCATTAATTAACTAGTGTTTAGGCTCGAATGATTGATACCCTATCGCTAATACTATATATTTAAAACTTAAAGTTGTGAGTGTAAATCTTGTACAATCACTCCACACCACAAAGACATTGTTTATTTTTTTACTAAAAAGACATTGTATTAAAAAGAAAAGTATGTCTTGAAAAAAAAAAAAAAAGTCTTCAAACACTCTACCAACTAGAATTTGGTGTAGAGACTAGACTAGAGAGCAACATGGTTTATATCGTGTGCCCTCTAGATCGCATATTATGTTGCTAGCTTAGGTCACTAAAAAATTTGAGCTCTAGAATCTCACATTTGACATAAAAATCTTTCACTATATGTTTTTAATAGAACGATACATTTAATTTTCGATAGAATGATACTCCTTTTGTTCCTAACTAGGACGATTTCCATCTGGTACGTGGTTAATACTACGGAGTATTAATTTGTATATTTTGGTAGTTATGTGTCGTGTTATAAAGTAATCTGATGTTTTGGAGATCAATTGTTGTTTCTGATTGTTACTCGGATTGTTATGGGCAATTTGAGTACAGAGGTCGCAGGAGGAAGAAGATGCAGATCCACGATATATTTTTTATATTTTTTTGGAGGATGGGGAAGGACGTTAGTTTAGAATTAGACGACGTTACTAACGATCTTTTTAACGATGCAAAATTTGCCGTCAACATAGCCATGTCACCATCAGTACAATTCAATATAAAAATATTACTTTTGCTAAGGAGGGCCCACAAATGCAGCTGATTAACAAGGTTTCGTTAATCAGGCTGATCAACTGGGTCGGCCTAGAATTTTAATGGGCTCGATTCGCGTGGTATGATTAGTCCTTTGGAAAATATTACTATGTACTACTGAGCATCCTGAACTTTGCGTAATAGCCAAAACGTACACTACCAACACGTGCCTAAAATGAAAAATTCTAGTCGCTTATTTCATTGGAGGAGGTGAATCCACGCGTGCCAAATGGATGCATAGGAACAATTCACCATTTTTTAAAAATTGTTCTAGAGAGTGACAATTCACTTCCTTCGATGAAATAAATGTCTGGAAATTTCCATTTAAGGCACGCATCGCACCTAACACTATAGTTGGTGGTGTTTTGACTATTACGCAAAGTTTAGGTGCTCAGTATACCTAGGCCATATTTCAGGGTGTTTCGACCAATATAGGGTTTGAGCATTATCAATGCAAAATAGATATTAATTGTTGGTTATTAAATGTTTCGATGCATATTTCAACACGTTAAAATTTCAAATTAGTACTTCATTTCTTTTTTTTTTTTTTTCTTTTTTTGAAGCAAATTAGTACTTCGTTTCTATATGTACTTTCTCTATTAATCTTGAATTTAATTACAAGAGTTCATATGATACAATTATTAATGCATAACTTTAACCATATGCTATATAACATTTGTAAATGTCAGATTGTCAGTAAATATTATAATTAACATTAGTACTGAATAATTATAATGAATAATGACTATAATTTGCAAAACAAACATGAACGAATCCATGGACATACCATATTACACAATAATATTTGACTTTTACATATTAGCAAAAAATATATGATCAAGTTTAATGTATGAACAGTGTAGAAGTAAATACTCTTGCAAGTATTCATAAAGTATGAGGGAGTAATGAAAGATATCAATAGTTAAATAATATGTATACATGTTTGCCACCAGTAGATGAGAATATGAGATTACTGACTTGAGAATTTAGAGGTAGGACTATTTCATATTTCATGGTTGACCACCTAACCATCATATCCCTTAAAAAACGCACCAAATTACCAATCCTTCATTTCCCCAGAATTTAAATACCAGGTGTGAACAAATCAACATTATACACATACGGTACCTTGACAAATACTTATTTATTTAAAGGTAAGATGAAGGATCTATTGAACCGATACCTTTTCCATCTTCGTAAATCAACGAGATTACGAGGTAAGAAAATTATTCTTTTCTCAAACAAATATAATTGATGAGGCTCAAACTTATGACTTTAAGGTGAGTATCCCACCAATTCTACCGAGCTTTACTTGGCACCTCGACAAATATCTGGTGAGAATTAAATTAAGAGAGAGTTAAAATGCTGTGTTTCAATTCACAGTAGTAGACTAGTAGCTCAGCTAAACTCAACTCCCAATGGCATTTTCGTTATTATATCCTTCTTTCTGCCAACATTTCGGTACCCTCAAATCTTCAACCGTCGCTTTCCTCTTCATCATCAAAATAATAATGTCTGATCATCTTTTCTCTCTACCATAAACCTCTCTCACATTCTTCAAAAATATCCCATTTTTTCACAGAGGAGAGAGAAAATCTACCTTCTCCGGCACCGGCGAAATTCGAGGAGAGAGAAAATTAGAGTTTCACAAAAATGGTAGATGCGAGCGATAAATTGGCGTATTTTCAAGCAATTACAGGTTTAGAAGACATTGATTTATGCACTGAGATTCTTGCTGCTCATAATTGGGATCTTGAGCTTGCAATCGCTGCTTTTACTGGTAATCCCAATGTTCCAGAACCTTCTGATGATGTCGGAAGTAGTGGGCAACAACAGCAATCACAATCTCAATCACAATCACAACCTCTGAATAATTCGTTTCCA